ATTAATAAAAAAAATTATATTATTGATTTTAATTTTATTATAATAAATTATATATAATAAATAAAATATTATAAAATAGCAGTTACTATTTTGAGATTCTTTTTATGATAGTTATTTAAAATATAGGTTGCTTTTATTATAGAATTATTAAAAGAATTTACTTAAATATCATTGTCTATATTTAATATATACTTATTAATAATTCATTTTGACAGTAAAATGTAATTTATTCTAATAAAAAAGTTAGTAATTATTAATATTATAATAATAAAATTACTTATTAAAATATAATTTAATAAAAATTTATTAACTAGTTATATATATTTTTTCAATAATTTGAATATTGTCAAATAATTGATTAATTTTATTTTTATTTAGTTATAAAAAATACACATTTATTATTTACAATATCATTATTTTTTTGAACTTTCTATATAATAAATAATTATAAATATTATTGTAAAATTAAATAATATATTAAAAAATCAAAATATTATTTTATTTTTTATAATATATCTAATAGGATTTAAAGATATATACTAGATATCCTTTCAATTTTTTATTGTATCTATTTTATTTAAAGTTAATTTAAATTTCTTCACTTATATATAATTTAAATTTGCAATAATACAATATCAGACCTAAAATATATTTGAATTAAAGGTATAAATTTGTTAATTTAAATATAAAATCAAATAAATTTTTTTTTATTTTATAAGCTAAATATTATAATTTTTTTTCTTTTACTACAAAATATTTATATGTTTATCTTTAAAAAATTTTAATTAAAAGTAAAAAATAAAATTATTTAAAATTAATAAAACTTTAAATTATTAAATAAATATTAAGTTTTTTATTCCTAATTATTGAATATTTGAGATATTTGCATTTAATATTATTAAGAATTTATGATCAACTTATTCATTTCTTTATAAGTTTTTTAACTTATATGATTCTTATATATATTATATAGAAAAAATAAGAACAACTAATAATCATTAAATTTTTTGTAATAATAATTCTTTTTTTTGACTTTTACTAATTTTTTTAAGATATATTATTATAGTAAATTTTTTCATATTATATTAAATAAAAAAATATTTTGTATATCTGTATAATCAAATTTTATATATTATAATAATATTTTATAGATGTATACTATTAGATATAATCATGAATAATTAAAAAATTATAATTTAATTTGACAAAAATTTAAAGATATATATTATACTATCAGATGACTAATCCTTTTTATATTCTTATATATATTATTAAATATGATATAATTTTATTTTTTATTTTATTGTTAATATATATGTCTTTTCAAAATTAGATACATTTAAATATTATGTATAAAATAAATAAATTTTATAAACCTGTATTATAATTATAGTTCAAAAGAATTTTGATTATATATTTTAAAATGTTTCTCTTAAGTTAATATAGGTTTTCTAAATTTCTTGATTGTTACATAATTGAAAATATACATTATAAAATTTTAATTAATTACTAGTTAAATTCTATGCAAAAAAAATTTTCAAAAAGATAATACATCTTTTTATATTACAAAAATCACATATTTTTATATTAAATCTTTAAATATTGAATTATTTCTTAAAGTCTAATATTAACTCTATAGAAAATATTTAATTATAAATTAAGATTAAAATTTGTTAACATGATTTATAACTATCAAGCATTACACAAATAGAGCAGTGAGTCAAGAAGTAATAGGATATAGTGCCTGTAAATTATTATTATAATTTAATCAAATTCATATTACGTTAGGTTTAAATTATTATTATTGCAAATAGAAGTTTAATGAAATATTGACCTATAATTTAATAAAATAAAAAAAATTAAAATGTTAAATTTTAGTTATTTTATAATAAATTTAAACCAGCCAATACTTTTTATACCCTTCTATATATATTATATTTTATTCATATAAATGCAAAAATGATCTATCATAATAAAATATTTTTTTTTATATTTTAACTATAACGCTTTTTATTTAATAAATTAATAACTTTTCAAATTAAGTATATTAAGAGATTATACAATATACATTTTATGAATTAATATATATACTGTTGAGTATAAAACAAATTAATATACTATACTTAACTTCAATTTTAATAACATATTTTACTTAACATATCTCCTATACTCTATAACTTTCATCTTATCTGTGTTCATACACCCTACTCTGTAACTCTAACATATATAAACACTGTAATAAATTCCAATCCATCATTTATTTAAAACTTCACATCTGATAAATCAGTAATTATATATATTAAAATTGTAAAATAACTTCAAGTATTAAAGTAAACTTGATAAAATTATATATAAAAACTTCAGATTGTCATAGACCTGTTGATCTTATCACTATTGTTGTTACTTTGCTTCTCTGCAAATTCCTCAAAGTTACACCATGTTTATATTGTGTGAGAGGTCCCTTGAGTTTTGAAATGCTACAAATTTGATGCAAACAGGTTTTATTAAATAATTTACGTCAAAGCTGAACAAAATTATATAAGAATATTACCAAAATATCAAAACTTATATCCGCAAGTATCCTTTTTTATGTACTAATGTAATCAAAGCAAATTCGTAGTTCATATTAAGGGATTTTGTATTACATAAACTTTTTTTTTTTTTTAAAAAAAAAAAAAGCAACTTTAAAAGAAGAAGCTTTTGTTTACAAACATAATTAGGATTATATTTATCAATTTTCAATTTTTTCATTCCCATTGGTCAATTCACAAATTATTTTTTAACATAAAAATTAAAAATTGATACACGGTAACATGTTACGACTTAAAGTTGTAGCACGCATCAAAAACAACATTATGTGGGTAAAGCGTTAGTTATTCTTTTGTATTCGACATCTGTGGGATAATTTTCTTTTCTTTTCTTTTTTTTTTTGGTAATATCGAAACTTAAAATTGCTGCAAAATGCGTAACTAAAGGAAAGGAAATAAAAATTTTCAATACATAAATTAATGTATGACTGAATTCTGAGCCCCCACATTTATCTACCCACTTCCATGCACATAACCTTATCGGCAGCACGACATAATTCTCATTATTTTTAGATAGCAAAGTGTTCTTCCAAGAAATGTTATCTTTAAATCAGAGTTTTTATCAAACCTTTTTTTACGAATCTGACAAGGTCATGTGATTACAATTGATTTCGCACTGCGAATTTAAAACAATTTATGTTGCATTAATGCATTAAATTTAATTTTAATATTTTGCTGACCAATTTATGCAAGGACATATGTATGATAAGTTTCTTTATTTTCAAGTAAGACACAAGGGGAGATGATCAGCCACTTTCGTCTTTGTGAAATATGAGTAGCTATGGTCATAGTATTTGCCGAAAGGGAGGAAATGATAATAAGACTTATTTTGGAACACTAAAATATGTTATTTCGTTCCCGATAGTATTCTTTTTTACTTCGAATCAAATTGTGGACTATCACTCAATTATGAGAGTTGATTATGATAAAAACATACGCGGATGAAATCGTAAATCTTCAACAATTTATTGTCACACTTCTCCGCAGCAAATAATAAAGAAAAATAAGAATAAAAAAGTACCTATTGATGATTACTGCCAATAAAATGAATTTACCAAATTAAAACAAAATTTAAAGTTTTCATTTGTATCATTTGGGAGTACTTATAACTTTGAAAAAAAAATTCTCACCCAATGATACCTTTTTTTTTTTTAAAAAAAAAAGATCCTTGTTTTTTATCCTATTTTTTTTAAATAAAAATTTCAATTGTTGGGGAATTCCGTATTTTTAATTGGATTAATTTGGGAGTACCTTTCCTTTTCAAGAGATCATTTTATTCTTCTCATAAATGTTAACCTTCTGATTTTACAAATTAAAGCTTAGCATTCAATCATCTCTTGCTTATGTATTAAAAAGATGGTGACCATGACAATTAATTATGTTATGACATTTGCCGAATCTTTAAGCGGACTTATTTAGAATCGACGTTGATATTACATTTTGGTCAAATTCTTTTATTGGGCAAGAAGGATCCTGAGAGGAATATATTGAAAAAAAGGATTTATCAGATTTTCCTTATGGCTTCTGTTTCACCTGTGTTTTAGTATGCACAGTCTCAAAGATTTCTCTGCACCAATCGCTTATCTGCTTTACCCTATTCTTAACCTTTTCCCTCTATATTGATGATCAACAAATAAAAAAATTTTTGGATTATACTAGTATTTTTTTTTTATATTTGGCTCGTGCCTCTTATATTGTTTATTTTTGCGCCAATATTAAAAAAGATTGGGGTAGAATTTTTTTTTTGGTAGTAGATGATGTATTCTAAACCTTTTGACACAACTCCCCCTAAATTTGTGCTATGATGTGAGCACAAGATCAAAATATGCCCATTTATTTGTTTGTGACCATTTTTATCATATGATTTTAATGGAATATTTAAAAAAAAATTGCTTACGAAATGATCGTGAAATGTGTAACTATACTGTCTGTAAATGCTGTAGGTGCAAATGGTGGATTTTCCCCCGTTACTTTTCTGTTGTTTTGCTGGTGCTTTGATAGACAAACACCTTTATCAATCATTGTAACATTCATTGTCTCTTTAATCGGCGTATTGCAAAAAAAAAAAAAAAAAACACCTTTTTTTCCTCTTCCTATTACCGGATGTAGATGTGATAGACCATCGTAAAGACCCTTTAAGGTACATGAAAGGAGAACATCTAAGATCAAAAAAAAAAAAAATTGGAAAAAAAAAAGAAACTTTGATTTGCTTTTTTTGGTGAGGCTAACTCGTGATCATGAAGCATTTAAGGGTCATCTACCACCTAATTATGGCGTTGAATTAGATGAAAAATTTTTTTGTATAAATACCGCATAATTTACATCGGTAAATTGCCGATAAAAATTTTTCAATTTCCTATAATTTTATTTTTTTCATATTTTTCATTTATTTTTTTATTTTGCTTTTACAAAATGACAACGGAAACGACCACCATAACTTTTAAATCACTTCATTTAAATCCTCCAACCAGGTATCGATCTATTCCGATATCTTTACATCTAAACAAAAGGACACCTCAACCCACAACTTTATCCTTGAGCCTCAGGTCACCACCGGTACCCGTTAAGGAAGATGATTTCGGTCTTTGCGAGGAGTGCAATAGACCAAATTCATCAAAGGGATATTGCTCCTCATGTTCTTCTTCGCATTTTCAAAAGAACTTTGATAGATGGACGAGTGGGAATGATGACATTGATAAATTGATAAAATCAACACAGACCTCTAGTAGGCGAGCCTTTGTAGAGTGGATACCGTACGATGATTTACATGATGTCAAATACATCTCCAAAAGTAGTTTCAGCACGACATATTCCGCTACTTGGACATCTGGTCCGATTATGAATTGGAATCAATCAAGTGAAGATTGGAATCGTGACGATGAAGTCAAAGTTGCATTAAAGCGATTATATAATTCTCAAAAAATTTCTAAAGATTTCTTGTATGAGGTAATCACCCCACCACCTTGTGGTTTGTCGCAATTCAAGGCGCACAGTAATCACTAACAACTCTTTCATCTTTTTTTTTTTTCATCCTTTACTTTTAAGCTCGAAGTTTCGCTACTTCATTGTTCTTATCAACAACATAAAGAAATTATGCCGATATATGGGTTTACGCAAGATCCCATAACAAAAGATTACATGGTGGTAATGAAATTCGAACGAGGAAACTTGAGGAATTTCATAAATGATAATTTCACTTCGCTTTCATGGTCACAAAAACTCAAATTACTTCATTCAATCGCCACCGGGTTACATAAAATTCACTCATCAGGATTAAGCCATAATAATCTTCATTCCGGTAACATCTTTGTGAAAAAGGAAGATAACGGTGATTTATCGGCAATCATTTCGGATTTAGGGATGTCGGGTCCAGCTGATAAATCATATGATTTATGTAACTCACGAATCGATACATTTGGCGTGATACAATATACGCCTTCCGAAATCTTTCACGGTCGTATTTACACAAAATATTCCGACATTTATTTCTTTGCAATGTTGATGTATGAGGTCTCGACCGGTTTACCACCGTTTATCAACGTACCATTTGACAAATTGAATGAGTTGATGTTTGATATCTGCGATGGTTTTAGACCCGCTTATAATTCCAAGGACATGCCAAGGTGTTTTGAGGAATTGATGAAAAAATGTTGGGATGATGATGAGTTTAGCAGGCCACTCGCTTCTCAATTGGTTGATATTATTGGAAATTGGATAAGTGAGGATATTAGTAGGCGTGGTAACCTGATTCGATTGAAATATCCTTTAAGCATATACGATATTTATAAGAGTCAACGAATTAATACCACCGATTTGGGCGATGAAGATTTTGAGCATGATAGTGAATCAAATTTTGATGAGAATGTGGAAAGTGATGAAGGTAAATTACAAGATGAACCTTAATGATTGACATTTGATTAATCATGAATATGCCTTAACATTCCATTATAATCATTTCATTACAGACATTGAACTTAATACAGATTTCGAACGAAAAGGTGAATAACATCTTTATATTTGAGAATTTTTTTTTTTTTTTGAAAAAAAACTTGTAATTAAACATTTTTTTTTTTTTTAGTTCAAAATAAATACGTGACGATAAAACGAAGCGATATAATGAAATGGATCGAAAACATCGACAATACTTTTGATCCGGAACGGTTGTTACCCTAGACAAATTTAGCAATACTTACGGAAAAAACAAAAATTTCAAAAAAAAAAAAAAAAAAGCAAAAACTGTATATATTTTATAGCTATAATCATATTCATCATCATTTCATAACCCATACCCAAAATTATCATTATTATAATTTATTTTATTCTAATATTTTAATATTCACCATTAAAAAAAATAATCATTTCTGTAAACTTCGCTTAAATTTGAATTGTCATCTGTTGTTATGAAGTCATTGGGCGCGTCATTTTAATTTTAATTGGCCATCTAATTGGTAATTTTCACTAAGACGATTAAAGATAAAATTTAGGCGCCATGTCGATCCCGATTACGAATTATGACACAATTATTACGCCAATTACGCAAATTACGCGAATTACGCTCTGGCTAAATTGTTGACGTTATCGAAACAATGTCTTGGAAATATCGCAGTAAAAACGAATGTGTATAAATACAGCAGACTAATAAAGTAAATCGAAAAGAAAAAAAATAAGATCTTTTATAAATTCAAATCCAAGAATAAATCCAAGAAAGCAGAAAATGACGGGACACAGAGACAAACATTGGGAATCGGACAATCGATTCGAAAATAAGATAACGAGATTTATTGATGATTTCCTAGGTGATGCTAGAACAAAATTTCGTGGTACAGGTGGTGGGGATAGCAAATCCGTTTGGGTCCCAGCTATTGATGTAACAGAAAATGAGAGAGAATATACGATCATCGCCGACGTTCCGGTGAGTTTTTTAAAGAAAAAATTAATAAATTTTTTTTTTTTTTTCGGGTTACTGATAAAAATTTTTTTTTTTTTTTTTTTGTTAGGGGGTCAAAAAAGAGGATGTCGATATCGAATTTCATGATTCAGTATTGGTTATCTCTGGAGATCACAAACGCGAAACAATTGCCCTTGATCCACAAGAGATAAATGTTAAACAACAAAAAACCGATCCCCATTACCAATCAAATCAACAACAAGTTGATCAATACCAGCAAACTCAACAATCACATCAGCAAAGGCCAACTGAAAATCAATCAAATCAACAACCACTCCAACAACAGTCAAACGAATATCCAAATCAATCAAATCAACAGCCAACCGATTATCAATCAAATCAACAAGCGACCGATTTTCCAACGAACCAACATAATCAAAACGGTCAACAAGGCGAATATCAAGAATTCCATCGATTAAAAAAATCTCAACCACCACCGCAAGCTAATGGAAATCAAGCGACCTTCGAAAAACTTCATATACAAGAACGTCGTTATGGTCAATTTTCCAGATCAATTCAATTACCAACCAATATTAGAAATGATGTAGATTTCAACGCGAATTTAGAAGACGGTGTTTTGAAAATTAGGGTACCGAAAAATAGTGAAAGACCAAAGAGAAAGATTAGAATTTCTTAAAATAATATTATCATTATTTTATTATTTCATTTCATTATTTCATTATCTATTATTTCATTGATTTTATTTTTATCCCAAAGTTTGTATTATTAAATTTCCTCATCATTTCAACAACTTTAAATTATCATCATGATTTATTTCATTTAACAAAATATAATAATATATCAATATCAAAATAAACATAATTTTTTAAATTTATTTATACAAAGATGTTTGTAAAAATTAATTTTATGTATGTAAAATTTACTTACTATGTTGTAGAGCTTTAGGGAACAGATCAAACCTTTGGTAATACAGCTAATATCAAATTCACTTTGTCGCGCGTTTACCTTATGTGGAAGTTATTTATAAGGAACAATGATCATTGAAGTCAAATGATCATTTTTTAATTTCGGTCAAAATAAATACACATTTAGCTCTTTAATTTTGGCTGATCAATGGTTGCGTGCTTAACTTGTGACGACAAATAAAAATATTTATATCGTTGGGGCAGATGAACTGATTAAATCATATATACAGTCGTCACTGGATATAACGAACCAGCCGTTCCAGAAGATTTGGTTCGGTTATCGTTATATTTAGTATTAATAATTCGGGTCAAATATGTAGCGCCGGCCAGAATTATAATTTATGTAACATAAATTTCCTTTTTTTTTTTGAACCACTTTACTTGTACAAAACTGTTTTTATTTAATGTCAAATAATAATTCTGTACAGTATTATAAAATGGGCGTCCTTAAAATGTACCCCGGGTTCAGGCTATTATCCTAGACCTATCACATACTTTAAAAAAATTTATTTATACATGGGGTCTAGGATAATAACCTAAACTCGGAGTCTAGGATAAATTTGCCCTTATAAAATTACCATTTGGTCACATGATTGTTCGGTATATAAATATATGATTAATATGTGTGTGGACCGGTTAAATCGTATTCGGATACGGTATATAGCATTTTATTATAGAAGTTCGTTATATCCAGTGTAATTAATTATAAAAAATTTGTTCTGAAGATTTTGGTTCGATATAACGAGTTTTCGGTACAAACAGGTTCGATATAACCAGTGGTGACTGTATATTTCAGATAACTTTTGTTTCTAAATTAGCAATTTAAACAAATTATAAGTGGTGAAAATCATCATGAATATTTTTTTTAAAAAAAATTTTATTCATAGAATAGGAAATATTTCATAATTTGGAATGAAAATAACGAGAAGTATTCAGAGTTATGGGGAGTTAAAAATACGTTAAATTTAGTAAGAGACTTAACAAAATTTATTTTAATTTAAGCTACATATATATTAATTAATCTATCTGCCACCCAGAATCATTACTTAACCTTCGGAAACTTGTACATTTTAGCAACGACTCGTAAATTTTATGTTCGTTTAAACTAATGTTGGCCGAATTCACCAATGCGAATTAAAATGCGCGTGATAAAGTATAGTATGTTTACATGACTTTCATGCGTTTGATTTCATACAAATTATTCGTGTATGAAATATCTCGTGAAGGGAAGTACTAGGGATCAAAAGCTTTTTGAGATTCAGATTTAAGTGCTGTCGTCTAAGAAATCATCATGGTTCGTACAACAATTTATGACACTAGGGTTTCCGTTTGAAATACAAATTGCATTTCAAATATTTGAGTTTTTTTTAAATAATTTCGAATATCAAAAAGTCATTTAATTCGGATTCGAAAATTGAATGTTTTTTTTTGGTTTTTTTCGATATTTTGATTAGGTAAGCTTTTAGTTTTATTATTTTTATATTTTATTTTTATTATTATTATTTTTTTTTTATTTATTTTTATTTTCTTTTTAATTACTTTTTTTAAATTTTTTATTACATACGCACTTTCGTATTCATCGATCGATTTATTTATTTATTTTTTTTTTTTTATGTACAGTACTTCGTATTTCATCGATCTATTCTTTTATTTTTTTCATTTTATTTTAATAATTAATTAAAAAGAAGAAAATAAATATAATCGATATCCGAAATGAATTTCGATATTTCGATATTCGAATATTAATTATGTATTTTGGAATGTTTTTTACAAATATTCGAATATTCTATTTTCAAACGGAAAACATATATGACACAAATCAGCTAAGCTAAGCGACTAAATAACATACTTTTTATTTTTAATTTTAAATTTTTTTTTTTTTTTTCCGAAATGTACTTATAATATGTTATAGTTATTTACCGCGGGTAACTAATTTACTAAAGCCCGTGATACCGACAATAAAATAAATTTTCTTGGTAATCATTTTTTTTTTTTTTCCTTCACTCTAAAAATTTACACAATTTAATATTGCCATAGGCTTCTAAATAATCCACATTTAACATCTAAAACATCTAAAGTATAGAAATTTAAAAACAATTTTATTTTATCAAAATAACTAAAATAAGAAAAAGGCAACGAAAGAAAGGTTTAATAATTTCGTTATTATGAAAAATTGTTGCAGTATAAAACACCAAATTTATCTATAAACTTACGACATCAAGATTTCAAATTCAAAGAACAAGAAATTAATGGATTAGTGCAACAAATTCGAAATTATAATATGCATCTATTAACAAATATCATCCTAACAATAACAATAACCGATATTTATGTTTTCAAGATGATTTTAACTAGGCTTTTTTAACCATGAATAGTTAAAACATTAATCGTTATAAATTTATTAGTAAATTATATCAATTTTAAAAATAAAATAAAATTTAACTTGTTTGAATGTTAAATAAAATTCAAAGGTATTACGAAATATTTGATCTTTTCCCGAAAATTCAACTCCGATAGTACTTCCAGTAAAATATCGATATGTAGTATTACGGGCGAACAAGGGGAGAAAGCTAATCCTAACAATTAATGATTGCGGAACAACATAATCCATATTAACACGTAAAAGAAATAGTCTAAGGTAGAATTTCAATGATCTCCTTACAGTAACCTTGAATAGGGAATACCGAAAGTTTAATTACCCTCCCAAAAAATGATTTGACTTTAGCCTTAATCAGAATTGGGAAATAATAACTCCTGAATTTTATGAGGCTGGGAAATCAAAATCAAAAAGATCAACTGCAAATGAGAATGTTGGATTTTCTTTATTATTGATTACAGAGAAAAAAAAAGATACATTGAGAAAGTAGAGGCCCGCGTAAGCAACAAACCTTGAAGTACGGCCCGGCCCTGGACTTAATAATATGACAACCTAAACTCGACCCAGGATTTAAAAAAAATATTTGAACCCGTTGCCAAGTAAATTTTCAACGTTCAATACAAATATCATTATGTAAATCCTCCGTTATTTTATATCGAATACTTTGGAAGAAATTATTTGTATATAATTATTTTAATGAATTAATTCATTTTTATGATTAAGACGTTCTTTATTGATTGACAGATTATAAAATATTTAGGTAATATATAAAGTAATATAAAAAAAAATAAAATAATTACTATAACGTAAATTATTAAAATCATGATCTTATTTACTTATCTACAACATTTATCATCTCAATGACTCCATCGCTGTTTGGAGTATTAATTGCCTCTCGCTTTTCAACCTTCGGTTCATTTTTATTATTAGCTGTAGAATTCCTTCTTCCATATACAAAGTAAATAACTAATCCGATAGCCATCCAAATAAATAATCTTACAATGGCTGCTTTATGAGCCGAAGCTAATAATACTATGTCAAATAAAGAACCAATTATAGGTACCAAATAAGGACCTCCCGGTATTTTGAACTTTCTTGGAGCATCTGGTGCATAAATACGCAATATTACTACACCTACATTTACCAAAAGAAATGCAAATAGTGTGCCAACCGACGTTAATTGTGTCAGGATGTCTATGGGAAGTAGCGCTGAAGCTATTGCGCAAAAGATGCCGGTGAATGCTGTTATGATGTAAGGCGTTTTAAATCTTGGATGAATCTTGGATGAACTTTTAATGATTAAACCGTCGCTAGTAAGGGGAATAAAATATAATTTTTTTTTTCATTAATTGAAGGGTGAATTTTCATTTTATTTCATTTTATTTTTTTTGAGCGCGACTTACTGTGCCATCGAATAAAAAATACGCGTTTGTCCTAAAAGTGTCACGAGATTTCCGGAGATTAACCCAAGCATGGCCCCAAGATCCACAACGATTCCGAGCCATCTCATATTAATTTTCTCGGCAGCCGTCGAGATTGGAGCTGGACCATCCAACTCACGAAAAGGAACTATCCCAGTCAAAACGGTACTTAAAAAAAATAAAAAGATTTAAATTAATTAATTACCGAAAAAAAATCTCTCCTTTTATTTTTTTAAAAAAAATCAACGAAATCAATAAAAATAGACTTTTTATGCAATACTCACGAAACAGCCATGTATAAAACAGTGCAAATTACCAGACTTCCTATGATTCCAATAGGCAAATTTCTTTGAGGATTTTTTACTTCTTGAGCAGTAGTTGAAACTGAATCAAATCCGATATAAGCAAAAAACACAACAGTTGCACCGGAAAGTACTCCAGTGAAACCGAATTCCGAGAACTTTCCTTCATTTGGTGGTACGTAAGGCTTGTAATTTGCATTGGTAATCCTTGTACTACCGGCTATAACAAATAATATGAGAATAAGAACTTTGATGCCCACAATCCCTGTATTAAAATTGGCAGATTCTCTTATGCCAACAATAAGTATTATTGTTAAAAATATTATTATTGCAAATGCCGGCACATTAAAATATGAGCCAGGTACTTTTTCGAAGGCACTAGTGGTTTCATTATATAATAATGGAGCGGCCGTCCAAGAAGGAGAAAAGTGAACATTAAACGCGTTTTCAAAGAAGTGCACAAAGTACCCTGAAAAGCCTAAAGAAATATATATATATAAAAAAGTGGTTATTTCACTGCGGCACGAAGCAAATCAGTGGTTTAAACGCAAGCAACTTACCCACGGCTATGGATGCTGATCCTAAAGTTAGTTAATTAAAGAAGGATTTTTGGGTTAAAAATTATAGTCAAGTTATATAATTGCTTCCACTTATTACTTACCAAAAAAATACTCTAAAATGAGATCCCATCCTATGATCCAAGCCAAAAGCTCGCCTAATGTTGCGTAAGTATAAGTATACGCGGATCCAGCAACTGGGATCATCGAAGCAATTTCAGAATATGATAAAGCTGCAAAGGCTGATGCTAATCCAGAAATTATGAATGAAATTAAAACTGCCGGTCCTGCATTGTTTGCTGCCGCTTGTCCTATTACAATTAAATAATTAATATGTGTATATGTATATACTAGGTAACAGGCACCGTTTGCAAGTCCGGAGCGTTAAAAACACGACCCATTTTAAATTCACGTGATAAAGTAATTCATAATAGATCGGCAGTGAAACAATGCGTGCCAAAAATCATCGACTCATGAGAACAAGCGGGCGGACATCGGGACATCAAAGCGCATAAAACATATATAGTCCTTCGCTAACGCTCCGGACCAATTATTTATTTTATTAAGGAAATCATTATTTTTACCTGTTAATACGAATATACCCGTGCCGATAATTCCTCCGATACCAATCATAATTATATCCCATGCGCCAAGAGTTCTATTGAGTTCTGATGTATTTTGATCAGATTCAACAGTATCCAAAGTTTTTATTGTAAATAATTTTCGAATGTGATATTTCCATGTTGCTTCTCCTGGTTGTTGGGGAGCGCCAGAAGTGTAAAACGTGTATCCACTCGTCATTCTCTCTTTTTGATTTTATTTTTTTTTTTTAAAAAAAAAAAAAAAATCTAAAAGTATCGGGAATGTGGGAAATAACAACACTATTTATTGTAATTTAATCAGGTTAAATTTTTATTCTAACCAAAAGTGCCAATTAACTTATCTGTCTAAACTTAAGGTCATTTAAATTATTACATTATATAACCCGTGTAACTAGAAAATTGACTCGGAGACATGATATCATAATTGGATCGACATTTAAACTCATTTTAAATCTCAAACGGGTCAATAAATAACAAGGTTCGTTTATTAAATAAACTTTAATTAAATTTGCTCGGTTGAGCTGATTATCTTAAATTGTGCATTATAAGAGGTATAAATAGTACAAATATTTTCACGTGTCAAAAAAACAAAATCAGGATCGTTTCACTGAAATTTATTACTGCTGATCCAGAATCGGAAAAACTTCCAATAAAGGTTATAGCAATAAGAGCGAAATGAAAAATCTATTCCGATTAGAAAAATTAGATTAAACAGTAATGAATGCACTGATAAATGTTTGCATGATAAAAGGACTTTTAGCGATTTTCACCTAAAATTACCCTTAAAAAGGAATCTTTTCTCACTCTTCGATATTCTGAGATAAGACTTACGATGGGTCTTTGGAGGATAAAAAAAATAATATATCTGTAGAACAAAGAATTAACAATAGATGAATCAGCTACTTCAACGGCACATTTGAAGTATGATTATGGAAAAAATTTTATTATCTTTCATTCTTTTTTTTTTTGTTCTACAAATGGAATCTCATTTATGAGATTGAAAGTGATAAGTATCTTAACAAATATAGTTAAAGAAATGTGTGAAGTAAAATTATTCATTAATGTAAAATTAAATAAGAATAAACATATTAACTGATGATATTATATTACTTTACTTTCATAGTTAATGTGAACTACAATTATAAGAAAGATTGAAAGGTTTTGAAAATTATAATCAAATAAAGTTTAATATCTATGCAAAAAGTATTCATTAAGTAATAAATCAAAAATAACATCTTATATTAGAAAAAAAAAAAAATATATATTATTATTTATATTATATCATTTAATAACTTATTCATTTCTTTTTAAAAATAATGCAAATAAGGTCTTAAATATTCTCTATATTTATTATAATAATAACTTTTTGTATTATATTAATAATTTGAAATATAAATTATAACTTATTATATAAAATATAATACTAATTTTATTATAAAAATTGAATTAACATTTTTTATTAAAACAAAATTTACAATTATTTAGTTAAAATAATATATTTAATTATAAAATTTTATAATAAATTTTATGTTTCTAAGTAAAAATTAAAAAAAAAAAAAGTAATTAACTGTAATTTTTTAAAGATAAATATATAATAAAATTATTATAAAAAATGGTTAATTTTTAAACTTATATATAGAATCTTACTATTTATTAATATAAAAATGCTATAATTTAATAGGATTAATAAGATAAATCTAATAAACTAAATTTCATATTTCTGTGATTATTAAATATTAGTTATTTTTAAAATTTAAAATTTTAAAAATAATACTATTATATATATTTTAATTTGATAAATCTAATAAACTTTATTTTATTTTTTTTTATAAACAATTTCATAATACTTACTATTTAAATAATAATATTTTTTTATAAATTATATAAGTATTTTATAATGAAACAAAAGAAAAAAATTATCAAAAAAAATTTTTACTTTATTAAACTAAATATTAATTCAAAAAAGTTTAAAGTTTTTTTCTTTTACTATAAAATTCATATTATTAAATATATAAAAAATATTTGTTAATTATTTAAATGATTATTATTAAAAAATATATTAAAAATAATTTAAATTATTAAAGAAATATAATAGATTATATTTTTCTTACAAATATTTTTATTTTATTATAATATTTAAAAATAAATTAAGTTTTTATATTTTAAAATATTTTAAATATTTTTTTTATATATATTTTATATTTTTAAGATTAAATTAAAATTAAATAAATCATAAGATATTTTTTAATAGATATTTTTTATAATAATTTAAAATTGTTTTTATTAATAAAATAAGTTAAAAGTCTTAATTTAATAATATTTCAAATTTTTAGTAATGATTACTTATCATATAATTTAAAATTAATTAATAAAATACATAATATTATGTAATTAAGAAAATCAAAATCTCAAAATTTACATAATAATAAAATTAAATTTGATATTTTTTTATTTACAGCTCTAAATATAAACTTCTAATTTTCTTATTTTTTTTTAATTTTTTTAAATCTTTTTATTTTAACCTTTATTCTTAAAGAATATTAATTCTATCTTATAATTTTTATTATAGTTATTTATATATCTTTATAATTTAAATGCAAATTAACTGATTATTATAAGAATATTATTAAAATCTTAAAAATATATTTTATTAAATTTGTATTTTATAATTATATAATTCTCTAATTTCTTATTTATAAAGCTTTAATATTATTTATAAAGTTACTTTTGCAATAAAATTTTCAAATATATAAACATTTTGCAATAAAAATGAGATAATTACCAAAAAAATTTATTTAATTTATAAATTAAATATTATTTATTTTAGTAAAATAAATCTAAATTTAATATTAATTAAAAAATTTTTTAGTAATTTTTTTTCTTTCTACTGCAAAACATCTATATAATTTAATTTAATAATAATTTTATTTAATACTATTTGTTATATATTAAATCTTTTTATAAATAAAAAATTTAAGTTATAGTAAAATGTATAATTAAATACTGATAATTAATAAATTTTAATTTATAGTTTAAATAAAATTTAATTAAACTTAAATTATAGTAAGAAATTTAATTTAATATAAATAATTAATAAAATAAATCTATTGTATTATTAATTATTAAATATATTTTAAATAAAAAAATATATTTAAAGAATATTATAATAAAAAATATATAAATTAATTAATATAATAAAAATGCTTTCTTAGCATACAAATTGTTTTAATATGAATTATTTTTTTAAAAAAATTAGAATATTATCTTATAACTTTTAAATAAATTCATTTTTATATTAATCTTTATGTAATATATTCTTTTATTTTTTTTTAAAATTTGTTATTATTAATATTATTATCAGATATTTTTATAAAAAGATTTTTAAAAAAAAAATTTTTTTTTATAAATTATTTTATATAATAATAATATAATACATATTATTAAACTTTAGATAAATTGAATATTTATATTATTTAAATTTAATCAAAATTTTAATTATAATATAGACAGAAAAAATTATTTATTTTAAAAATTTTTTTTTTTTTATAATCAGTAATAAATATGAGTTTTACTGAAGTATAATAAAATAATCTTTATAAAATTTTGATTTTTTTGTTTTACAAACAAAAATAAAATAAAATAAATTTCTTTAAAAAAATATTACTTTAAAATTTTAAATAATATAAATTGAAAAAATAACTATATACAATATGTAATTTATTTATTTATTTATTTTAAAAATAAAATATATTTAAACAACTAATATTTTATATATTATAAAATTATATTTTGAATTATTTGTTAAATATTAATAAAAGTTGAAATTATTTTTAAAGATTATAGGTATTATTAGATAAATTATTTTGAAGTTCACTTGTTTCTTTAATTTACGAAAATTTCTTAATTAAATCTTAAATTTAAAAGTTGTAAAATTTAAACTTTTTTACTTTATTATATTCTATAATATTATTATTATTTATTTAACTTATTGTAATATCTTAATAAAATTTATAATTTTATTATATAAAGGTTTTAATTCATTTTTTTTTGAAATTTTAAAAATTTTAAAGTAATTACGAGAACTATTTTTAAAAATATTATTATTAATATTTACAATAATATAAATATTTTTTTCATCAAGAAAAGTTTTTCATTTAATAAGTTTCTCTTTTACTTCATTCAAAAAATATTGATTATATTATTTATTTATTTTATTATAATCATAAGTAGGTATTAATTTAAATATAATAAATTTGAATATTAATAATTTTCGTAAAAAATTAAAGGTAAACAAAAAATTAATCAACAATTTATTTAAAAAAAATTTAAAATGATTTACTAATTTATGAGTTTGATTAGTTGTAAGTCAGTTATCATATATAATCCTATTTTAATATTAGATAATTTTTTTAACATTTATTCTTGAGAAGCTATTATGCAATTATCAGTATTATAATATTCATATTTATAGTTAAGAGAAATATTTTTTATATATGCATCAGTTCTGATAATCTTCAAATTGTATTCTTGAAAAATCATTTTAATCATAATTGATTTTTTAGTAAAGAATAACTTTTTGCGTAAAAAAAATTATAAAAAGAATAATTTACTAAAGTAAAGATAAACTCATTCAGATTATTACCCACCTTTTCTTAACTTTTCAATTTACTTGAATCTGTTGTAAATATTTATTTCAAATATAATCCTCTATATATACTTAAACTTTCCTAAGTTTTTAAATTATATAATCAATTTTATTTTAGGAAAGGGAAAAAATTTCCTTTTTTAGTGATTATTAATCATTATGAATATCAAAGCAAAATGTATAAATTAAAGTAAACTTGCATTTTCAGATAGCTTGCCAATGATCTATTCTAATTTAATGATTGTCAGATAAAATAATCTAGATTGTCAATTTCCTATGTAATGTAGGAATGTAGGCTAGTTCAATAGAAAGTTCTGCAAGTTTTAAATTTAAAAGAGCAATTAATATTCATTCACTTTCTGAATACTAAAAAGAATATTGCAGATATTATCATTGAAGTAATTCAAAATAAAAATGGAAGTTTATATAAATCATTATTATGACGTAATTACTAATAAGCTTATTTAATTTTTTTTTTCTTAGCTATAATAAGCATTATAATAACAGCTTTTGGTATATATGTGCTTAACCGTTGTAGTACTTAAAGCCATCTCGAAAGAATTCTGATTTATAACAAACAACATGATACGACTTCCAAAACTGATTTGATTGCAATGAAACAATCAAACTGCTCATTAATACCAATATACATCGATCTGTTCCCGATTAAATAAAAGTCTTTATTTTTCAAAATTTAGATTTGTTTTCACAAGTAATTTTGTAACGATTAATCCAATCAAGGAATGCTTATTTATATTAATCAAAAGCAGATACATTATTGGTGATTCTAAATATGACTCAAAAGTATAAAGAAAAATAGATGCTTATGATTCACTTTGTGAAGGAGGTTATGAAATAATTGTTAAAAGTAAGAAACTGGTACGATCATTCAGATTTATAACTGGATTCCAAAAAAAATTTTACAGGAAAATTATAATCAAATCAAATTAATGTGTAATTATGTTTAGTTATTATTAAATTGCAAATATATGTTCATTGTATAATTGCAGATAAAACTTTAACAATTCACGTTAAGTGATGTATCACTTGCAGAAAATGATCATTACTAGTAACTACATATCATATCCACCTCAGCCACATACAGTATATTGCTAATTAAAAATATTCACGATTATTTTTTTTTTTAAAATGACTGCTGAATGTACCCTTTCTTGCTTGTTATGTTCTAAAATTTTTGATACAAAAACAATACTGCAAAGTCATGAAAGAAACAAGCACAAAACAATAAATCATTCCATACCGTCATATGCTTTGTCAACCTACTGAAGAGACATTGTCATTTTATAGAATTACAGTAATATTTCATCTAAAGAAAAGTCTCGGTACTATTGAAAAAAACACAACAATTGATTCAGTGTATTTATAATAATTTAAAAACGAAGCCAGTTTAAGTATATATCAAATCAACGGAGATATCTATGTATATTTGAGGGTACTGCTGGTGGGGACTAAAAAGCTCTAAATATGACTAAATTATATTTTGTGAAAATACAAACACTTCAACTCGAAGATATATATCATTTGAAGACAATGAAGGCAGATATAAAGCAACATTTTCATTTAATAATGTTAGGAAGATATCTTCCGCTTTATAACTTATATTTTGTTTTGTTTTCGATTTTTTTTTCCTAAAACATGGTATCATTGAGGCATTCCAAAGATCGTTCATTAGGATTGGAGTGGATCATGAGTTATGTAGTTATCCAAAGATTGGTATGTTAGAACCGGTTGTCGGACGCTTAAAAATGTTGGATGCAAATCACATATCGTCTATCGACCATTCCCGAACCGCTCTCAAATACCTTTATTATTTTTCTCTTTTTTTTTTTTATTTGTTTTTTTCTTAATTCACTAAGTTCAAAAAGTGTAAAGACATCTTATATAATATACTTCAATTTTTAAAGAAAATATTTGTTTTAACCATCAAAGGACTGAAGATAGAATCTTAAAAGGCGTTTCATGGTAATGTTACATTAATAAGAGAATGACATTACTTAAAAAGGATCCGCTGGATAACCAGATGATTATGATAGACATAGCAATGATGATTGTAATTCAAGTTTAATTTGCCAATTTACGCATGTGTTGAGAAAATTTTATTTCGGCGTAAAATTACCGTTTTAACGAGTTTTTAACCCGTTAAAATAGTTGATTAAGATTTTATAATTGCAAAAAAATATTTGCTAACCCAATCTCTGACAAATCATTGTTGAAACATGTTAAAGCTATTGTAATAACCGTAATAAGAGCCATAATTAATGAATATAGTACAAAATATACAGCAAAAGAAAATCTCTAGATAGAAATTGTGTGTGTTAACGAATTTACATGTAGATATAATATAATACTTTCCATCCATCAATTTACTTCAACTGAAAAATTCTACAATAATAGATTTTAAATTTTTACTAAGGTAGAATTGAATAGGTAAAAATTCTAGCTTTATAATTGAGTTGTGAAGTGTTTTTACGTTGAAAAATAAAAAATTACAATTATTTCTTGTTATTCGGTTAATTCGAATGATCAAAATTGATATAGTTTAAGTTAGATTCCGACACGTGAGGTGAACGTTAAAATTTTTTCTAAAGTGAAATAAATGTAACTTTATCAACTTATTAGAACGTTTATTATTTAAAAAAAAACTTTTTTTTTTTTTTACAATTTGGTCCAAATTTGTTGCTTCAAAAGTTCCTGGTGTCACATCTCTCAAGGAATCTGCCCATTATATCCTTGTATATCTGAAAAAGAAACTACGACATTTAATTTAGGATGTAGTTAAAGTGTTAAAAATATTTAATTGGCAAGTATCAAAATTTAAAAAACACAATGCTACACTGGATAAATTCGGAAAACTTGAAAGTATTTTGTGAATTTTAGACTTCGTGACTCGAATTTATTAGCACATGATTAAAATTGATTTGATATATCTTTAAATAAATTATAATGAAAAAATTTCGAACAGAAAATCTTCAATATATATACAGTGACTTCCATAATTATTGTACCACTTCGTTTTTAATTTTTAGATCGTGATACCTGAATAATTAAAGTGACTATAAAACTAAAATTTTAAACCAAAAAATCTCTTTATATGCAATTTTTTCGTTGGTATGATACTTTTGGAATCAAAATATAATAAAGTTATGATCGTGCGACGCGTCTTATACATATAAGTAAATTTAAATCAGTAGATCAATTTGTACGCCTTTCTTTGGTTTTTTTTTTTAAATCTATTATATTATGAAGGCGATTGGAACGTATTTTTGCCCTTATCCAAGAAAGTTTACTAAGTCGTACAATTGCTTCTCGCGAAAATATAAGTCATGCTTCTGTAATAAGAATCAAACAAAGAAAAGAAGAAACAGGCAGCTTTGATGTTATTCCAAAACCAGGCCACCCAAGAATACTTAAAGAACGTTATGATAGGAATATTGCCAGGCTTATTAAGTCGGGTGAATGTACAAATGCTATTCAAATTCAAAAATCTTTAATTTCCAACGAAAATATTGTTATTTCACCAAATACTATTCGAAGTTCATTGAAAAGGCAAGGTCTTGTAGCTAGAGTTAAAAAAAACCATTGCTGCTAAAAAGACAGAAAAGCATGAAAAAAATTTGCTCAAAAATATAAGAATTGGACTATAGAAGATTAGCGAAAAGTAGTGTAATCAGATGAGAGTAAATTCTTAATTTTTGGCTCAGGTGGGAGAGAGTGGTATTGGAAAGGTCCAAATTTACCTTTGCAACCACAGCATATTAAACCAACTGTAAAGTTTGGTAGAGGTTCTGTAATGATATGGAGTTGTATAGGTTCGTTTGGCATTGGAAAGTATTGTAAAATTGATGGAAGAATGGATGAAGAGTTATATAGAGAAATTTTGGGAGATGAGTTTTTAAGGACCCTTAGTGCATGTAATTTGAATGTAAATGATGTTATTTTCCAATAGGATAATAACCCAAAACATATAGCAAAGAAAACATATGAATGGTTTGATAACAATAATATTAAAATTTTAGATACAATCACCAAATTTAAATCCCATTGAACATTTGTGAAATAAAATTAATCATCATTTGCAATAGTTTCCTGATAATATTACTAGTGTAGAAGATTTTGGAATAAGATACAATTAGTATGGAATCAAATTGATGCTGATTTTTATTTAAAGCTAATTGATATTATGTCACAATAAGTTAAAGATATACGTAAGGCTAATAGAGGATATACGAGATGGTGATAGTTTTATTAAAAAAAATTAGAACATTAGTAATTAAAAAAAAAATTTGAAAATTTATGTTTTTGATTTTATTTATTATATGTGCCAGAAGTATTGTATCATAAAATATATGGTTATGAAAGAAAATTTTTTTAAAATTATAAATAAAAGAAATTTAAATTTGAATATATTATAAAAGAAGACTCAAATAATATATTAATTAAATTTGCAAATCATTTGATTATTGAATTTTTATTTATTACAATCTAAAAATTACAAACGAAGTGATACAATAATTATAAAAGTCACTATATATACTGTATATTGTATATATTTGAAGTTATAATAATACCATGACAATCATCAGTTTAAATAAAATAATTTTTAAATATGTTTCTAATTATGAAATTTATTAGATTAATTTTGATTTCTACATAAATTCTTTTTTGCAATATTTAAAAATTAAAATATAATAAACTAAATTGAAAAAATATTCCTTAGTTATGATTAAAAAACTTAATGCTTATTTACAGAATAAAATGAATAGAAATAAAATTTTTCACATGAATTCAATTATGCTGAATGAAATCTAAGAAAATTAAACAGAATATATTCAGATAAATCTATTTTATTTTACTGCATATACAATTTCTGAAATTATGATAGCAGTTCTTTGCTATGAAATCCTATATCAATATTCTTTGCTTAAAGCTATTCAAATAATTCCTGTAAAGTTATCCCAAAATAAATTGATAAAGAATTCTATTCTTGTTAACATATTTTAATTATTTATTAATTGATAAATTTGTTTTACAATCTTTTGATCAAATTTAATAAGTTTGAGATTAATTATTTTTAAAGCATTAAAAATATAAGAATAACTTGAAGTAAAATTTCAATCTTTTATTAATGTTTTCAATTAATAATTTATAATTAATAAAATCTTTAGCATAAAAAAAGTTCATTAAAATTATAAAGTATTAAATTTTTACTTTTATTATATGAATAACATATAAGTATTTATTATATCACTTAAAAAATTAATTTTAAATCTTATTAATATTTCTTCATAAAAATCTTTTCTATTGTAGCTGTGATCTTTAATTACAACCAGTCATGTAATTTAAAAATGATTAATAAAATTAACAAATTTAATAAAGTTAACTAATATAATTAAATAATTATAGTTAATTTATATTTATATTTCTTATTATTTATTAAATTTATTAGTAATAAATTGTTTAATAAAGTTATTATATTTCTTATATTTATTATTATTATATTTATTATTTATATTTATTAGTTATATTTTTATTAGTATTTTAACTTATATAAATATTATATATTTTTTCTTAAATTAAAAGATAACTCAAAATAGGGTTTTAATAAGAAATCTTATCAATTCATTTGCTATTTTCTTTTGTTATATCTTTATATAGAAGTAATTGTTATAAAAAGTATTTTATTTAATTTAAAAATATTAAATTAAAAGTAAAATTATCAAATTAATACTATAAATATTAGTTAAAAGAATATTATAATTTTATAGTTTATAAGATTCATTAATATCAAATATTTTTTTAAGCATATAAAAAGTGAGAAATATGAAAATAAAATATATTTTAAATATAAAAAAATCTCACTATACTAAATTCGTTAAAAATTTAACAAATTAAAGTCTAGAAAATTTATATATAAAATAATCTTTTTATAATGAATTTTTTTTTTGATATAATAAAGATTTTGTATTACAGTAAAGATATAAATAAAGAAACCAGTTCTAAAAAAGAGAATCTTAGTAAATATTCTCAAAGAAACTCATCTATCCTAAAAAGAATAAATTTAACTTATTAGTTAGTTATTAAAATCTAAAGAAAGTCAAACTAAAAAAAAAAAAGAAAAGAATGTTAAAAATATTTTCAAAAAAACTCACCTTCTCATTCAATCCTAAAATTTACTTACCAGTTTTTAATTCAAAAAGATCTGAAAGCCTAAAGAATTTAAGAAATTATTTCTACAAAAAGAAAGAAAATGTATATTAAAAATATTCTTAAAGAAACTTACTTATTTATTTAAGTCCAAATTCATTTACTATTTAGTTTCTATTTTCAATTTTAAGAGATTTAAAAGTTTAAAAAATCTAAGAAACTATTCCTATAAAAAAAAAAAAGAATATTAGAAATGTTTTTAAAGAGACTTATCTACTCACCTAAGCTAAATTCTCTTACTTTTCAGTTTTTTATTTCCAATTTTAAGAGATCTGGAAATTTAAGAGTTCAAGAAGCCATTCTTACATAAAGTAAAAAAAAGATTATTAGAAATATTCTCAGAAAAACTCATCTATCTTGCCTAAATTCAAATTCAATTAGTATTAGTTTTCTATTTCTAATTCCAAGAGATTCAAAAGTCCAAAAAATCCAAGAAGCTGTTCTTACAAAAAAAAAGAAAAAAGAATATTTCAAAGAAACTTATCTATCACTCAAACTCAAAATTCATTTATTAGTTTCTAATTCTAAAAGATTCAGAAATCCAGAAGGTCTAAGAAGCTATTCTTACAAAAAAAAAAGAACGTTAAAAATATATTCAGAAAAGCTCACCTATTTTAAAAAAAAATTTAACTTATCAGTTTATTTCTAAAGTTTAAAGAAAGTCAATTAGTT